GGGCCGCAGGCGGGGTGGTGCCGTTTGTTCCCAAGCATCCTGTGGTGTTGGGTCCTCGTTTTGAAGAGACGGTCCCCGCGTTCCTCCTCCACTCCTCCTCCTCCTCCTCCCTCCTCCCCCTCCCCCCTGCGTTTCACCCACCCAGTACAGCGTTTCGTGGCCCCATAGGGAGCTCCACCGAAGGCCCCAGTGCTGCCCGCATGCGTCAGCCACACCCAATTCGGCACACCCCTCACACGTTTCGTGGCCCCATAGGGAGCTCCACCGAAGGCCCCAGTGCTGCCGCCCGCATGCGTCAGCCACACCCAATTCGGCACACCCCTCACACGTTTCGTGGCCCCATAGGGAGCTCCACCGAAGGCCCCAGTGCTGCCGCCCGCATGCGTCCCCACACCCATTTCGGCACACCCCTCACACGTTTCGTGGCCCCATAGGGAGCTCCACCGAAGGCCCCAGTGCTGCCGCCCGCATGCGTCAGCCACACCCAATTCGGCACACCCCTCACACGTTTCGTGGCCCCATAGGAGCTCCACCGAAGGCCCCAGTGCTGCCGCCCGCATGCGTCAGCCACACCCAATTCGGCACACCCCTCACACGTTTCGTGGCCCCATAGGGAGCTCCACCGAAGGCCCCAGTGCTGCCGCCCGCATGCGTCAGCCACACCCAATTCGGCACACCCCTCACACGTTTCGTGGCCCCATAGGGAGCTCCACCGAAGGCCCCATAGGGAGCTCCACCGAAGGCCCCAGTGCTGCCGCCCGCATGCGTCAGCCACACCCAATTCGGCACACCCCTCACACGTTTCGTGGCCCCATAGGGAGTTCCAGCGAAGGCCCCAGTGCTGCCGCCCGCATGCGTCAGCCACACCCAATTCTGTATACCCCTCACGCGCTTCGTGGCCCCATAGGGAGCTCCACCGAAGGCCTTAGTGCTGCCGCCGGCATGCGTCAGCCACACCCAATTCGGCACACCCCTCACACTTTTCGTGGCCCCATAGGGAGCTCCACCGAAGGCCGCAGTGCCGCCGCCCGCATGCGTCAGCCACATCCAATTCGGCACCCCCCTCACACGTTACGTGGCCCCAACCCGCATGCGGCAGCCACACCCATTTCGGCACACCCTTCGCACGCTTCGTGGCCCCATAGGGAGCTCCACCGAAGGCCCCAGTGCCACCGCTCGCATTCGTCCCGCACACCCATTTCGGCACCTCCACCAAACACAGCGTTTCGTGGCCCCACAGGGACCTCCACCGAAGGCCCCAGTGGTGCCGCCCGCATGCGTCACCCCCACCCCAGCACAGCATTTCGTGGCCCCACAGGGAGCTCCACCGAAGGCCCCAGTGGTGCCGCCCGCATGCGCCACCCCCACCCAGCACAGCGTTTCGTGGCCCCACAGGGAGCTCCACCGACGGCCCCAGTGGTGCCGCCCGCATGCGTCACCCCCGCCCAGTACAGCGTTTCGTGGCCCCACAGGGACCTCCACCGAAGGCCCCAGTGGTGCCGCCCGCATGCGTCACCCCCACCCCAGCACAGCATTTCGTGGCCCCACAGGGAGCTCCACCGAAGGCCCCAGTGGTGCCGCCCGCATGCGCCACCCCCACCCAGCACAGCGTTTCGTGGCCCCACAGGGAGCTCCACCGACGGCCCCAGTGGTGCCGCCCGCATGCGTCACCCCCGCCCAGTACAGCGTTTCGTGGCCCCACAGGGACCTCCACCGAAGGCCCCAGTGGTGCCGCCCGCATGCGTCACCCCCACCCAGCACAGCGTTTCGTGGCCCCACAGGGAGCTCCACCGAAAGCGGCACCCGCAATGCGATATTCACAACTGCACATGGTTGGGTCCTTCGCCAGGATGATTTTTTGGCCGACAATGCCAGAAACATAAACACTCGGAGGTCCGACGGATCCCTCGGATCGGCGCTGGGCCCTGCGCCGGCGGCGCCTCCCGTGCAACCCTTGGCGCGCGCCGCGCGCCAGGGAGGGGTTCCAGCGCTGATCCGAGGAATCCGCGCGGACCTCTGAGTTGTCATGCTTCTGTCACTGGTTGTTCCCATGCCCTCGTCCCTGCGCCACAAGTGTTCCCTGCAAGGTCTGGGCTGCAGACCTTGCCTTTGCCGCACCCGCTTCGGCCAAAGACCCCGAGCCCCGGGCAGAGCAGAGCATGCCCGAATGGACCCAAATCCGCCGCAGCGTGTGCTGCCGCAACAGCAAAACAACCGCCGAGCCTTTTTGCTGATTCGCACCTTACGCGTGGAATCTAGCTCGTTCTCCCCCCTACCCCCATCCCCCTCCTCCTCCTCCTCCTCCTCCTCCTCCTCCTCCTCCTCCTCCTCCTCCTCCTCCTCCTCCTCCTCCTCCTCCTCCCTCTCCTCCTCCTCCTCCTCCTCTCCTCCTCCTCCTCCTCCTCCTCCCCCTCCTCCTCCTCCCCCCCTCCTCCTCCTCCTCCTCCTCCCCCTCCTCCTCCTCCTCCTCCTCCTCCTCCTCCTCCTCCTCCTCCTCCTCCTCCTCCAGAGGAGGAGGAGGAGGAGGAGGAGGAGGAGGAGGAGGAGGAGGAGAAGGAGGAGGAGGAGGAGGAGGGCTGCCTCGGTGAGTGGTCGGCTCATCGGGGCCATGGGGGAACTAAAACCCGCTCAGCCGTCCCTCGGGGCGCCGCTGTGGGTTAGGTCGGGTCCTGGGGTGTCGGGCTGTCCCGCTTGGCCGCTCGGGCCAGGGGGGGGAACGTGGCCTTCAGGGCACGGCCTCACCTGCCGCAAAAAAATTAGCCTGGCGAAGAACCCAACCATATGCAGTTGTCAGTACCGCAGCTGCGGGTTTCATCTTCAATGGAACTCCCCATAGGACTACGGAACGTGTGAGGGGTGTGCCGAGATCGGTGCCACTGGGGCATTCGGCGAAGCTCCCTATGGGGACATGCAACACGCGCGCGGCGTGCCGACATGGGTGGCGGAAACGCATGTGCGGGCCGCCACTGGGGCCTCCAGTGGAGCTCCCTATGGGTCCCCGAAACATGATCCTGCTGCGGGGGGGGGGCGGGATGGGTGGCGGAGACGCATGTAAGCGCCGCTACTGGGGCCTTCGGTGGAGCTCCCTATGGGGCCACGAAGCGCGTGAGGGGTGTACTGGGATGTGTGGCGGGGACGCATGTGAGCGCCGCCACTGGGGCCTTCGGTGCAGCTCTCTATGGGGCCACGAAACGTGTGAGGGGTGTGCCGAATTGGGTGCGGGTGGTGACGCATGCGGGCGGTGCCACTGGGGCCTTCGGTGGAGCTCCCCATGGGGCCACGAAACCTGTTGTTGTGAGGGGCGTGCCGGGATGGGTGGCGGGGACGCATGTGAGCGCGGCCGCTGGGGCCTTCGGTGGAGCTCCCTATGGGGCCACGAAACGTGTGAGGGGTGTGCCGAATTGGGTGGGTGTGGGTGACGCATGTGAGCGCCGCCACTGGGGCCTCCGGTGGATGATGGGGCCACGAAACCTGTCAGGGATGTGCCGAAATGGGTGTGCGGGACGCATGCGCATGTGAGCGCCGCCACTGGGGCCTTCGGTGGAGCTCCCTATGGGGCAAAGAAGCGTGTGAGGGGTATACAGAATTGGGTGTGCGTGACGCATGCGGGCGGCAGCACTGGGGCCTTCGGTGGAGCTTCCTATGGGGCCACGAAGCGCGTGAGGGGTGTGCCGAATTGGGTGTGCGGGACGCATGCGGGCGGCAGCACTGGGGCCTTCGGTGGGGCTCCCTATGGGGCCACGAAACGTGTGAGGGGTGTGCCGAATTGGGTGTGGGGACGCATGCGGGCGGCAGCACTGGGGCCTTCGGCGGGGCTCCCTATGGGGCCACGAAACGTGTGAGGGGTGTGCCGAATTGGGTGTGGGGACGCATGCGGGCGGCAGCACTGGGGCCTTCGGCGGAGCTCCCTATGGGGCCACGAAACGTGTGAGGGGTGTGCCGAATTGGGTGTGCGGGACGCATGCGGGCGGCAGCACTGGGGCCTTCGGTGGGGCTCCCTATGGGGCCACGAAACGTGTGAGGGGTGTGCCGAATTGGGTGTGCGGGACGCATGCGGGCGGCAGCACTGGGGCCTTCGGCTATGGGGCCACGAAGCGTGTGAGGGGTGTGCCGAATTGGGTGTGGGGGACGCATTGGGGCCGGTGGGGCTCCCTATGGGGCCACGAAACGTGTGAGGGGTGTGCCGAATTGGGTGTGCGGGACGCATGCGGGCGGCAGCACTGGGCCTTCGGTGGGGCTCCCTATGGGGCCACGAAACGTGTGAGGGGTGTGCCGAATTGGATGTGGGTGACGCATGCGGGCGGCAGCACTGGGGCCTTTCGGTGGGCTCCCTATGGGGCCACGAAACGTGTGAGGGGTGTGCCGAATTGGGTGTGGGTGACGCATGCGGGCGGCAGCACTGGGGCCTTCGGTGGGGCTCCCTATGGGGCCACGAAACGTGTGAGGGGTGTGCCGAATTGGGTGTGCGGGACGCATGCGGGCGGCAGCACTGGGGCCTTCGGTGGGGCTCCCTATGGGGCCACGAAACGTGTGAGGGGTGTGCCGAATTGGGTGTGGGTGACGCATGCGGGCGGCAGCACTGGGGCCTTCGGCGGAGCTCCCTATGGGGCCACGAAACGGTGTACTGGGTGGGTGAAGAGGAGAGGAGGAGAGGAGAGGAGGAGAGGAGAGGAGAGGCGAGGAGGACGCGGGGACCGTCTCTTCAAAACGAGGACCCAACACCACAGGATGGTTGGACAAAAACCCACTCGCGGGGGGTGGTGGGTGCGAGGGACTAAACTGCTGGGGTACCGTCCGCCCCAGCGCCAGTCTCCGCACTCGGGTCCTCCCGCACCACGTGGTGGTCATGCGTGCCACCTGGTCCCTCTTGGGCAGAGGGACCTGCGGGGGTGGTCCTGGGCTGCGCTAAGTCCTCCTCCTCTTGCTCCCCCCTCCCTCTCCAACCCTCCCCGCGCGGGCGCACTCCCTCTTTTCAGAGGCCACATGCCCCTCGTCGACGATCCGATCTTTCAAAGGCCGCAGGCTGGACTTTCGCGCAGGACGGATGCGGGCCCAGTTACAGCTGGTGGGCTTGTTTTCCACCGCCACCACCACAAGTAGAAGGGGGAGGGGCTCCTCCTCCTCCTCCTCCTCCTCCTCCTCCTCCTCCTTTTCTTCGTCCTGCTATTCTTCCTCCACCTCCTTCCCCCCTCCAACTTCTGGTGGTGGCGGCGGAACACAAGCCCATCAACAGGGGCGGGAAGGCGCCGCGGAGGCGCGAGCCGGGCCTGCGCCGGGCTGCCTGACCTCCGCTCCCGCCCCTCGGGGCCCAGAGTGGTCGTCGTCGTCGCCGTCGCCGTCGTCGACGTCGCCGCCGTCGTCGCCGTCGACGTCGTCGTCGTCGTCGCCACCGTCGTCGTCGTCGTCGTCGCTATTATCCTCGTCGCCGTGGTCGCAGTCGCCGCCAGCGACGTAGCTAGTAGCAAGAAGTCATCGTGACAACGATGATAACGATGATAATGATGATGATGATGATGATGATGATGATGATGATGATGATGATGATGATGATGGCGATGGTGACGACGAACTGATGTGGACGTGATTGCGCACATAATTTCTGGAACACGCGCCACGGGATCACATCTGATATGCCATACCTGCTTGTAAAGCTAGGCGTTTCCTCTTGAAAGGACCGTCGGACAACGGGTTTGCGGCGATTCCGCTCGCGGGAACGCACGGGGCGTGGCCCGCGGCACGCGGCGTGATGGCATTGGCGGGGGCGCGACGTGTCGAATGATTTCGACGTGCGCGTGCGTGTGGCCCGCATTGTCAGCTTTGGTACATTTCCATACCGACGCCCTTCCCTTGGTTTGGCGGGATGCTAATGGGGGGATCGGTCCAGATGGGGAGAGAGGCGCAACCGAGGTACAACTTGTACCTACGCCTCACGGAGAAGGTACAAATTGTACCGACGCCACGCAGACAAGGTACAAATGGTACTTTGACAATGTCCGCGACATGTGCGAGGATGTTAACGGGGGGGGAGAAGGTACAATTTGTACTTGCAACCCGCAGAGAAGGTACAAGTTGTACCCCAACAAAACGGTACCGGATACTCATCCCCCTATGTCCTGATCCCCCCCTCGCCATCCGGCCGATTGGTTCGAGCAAGTGCGCCGGAAGCGTGGTTGTAGAGCTGTATGTTGACACGGCCAGCGGACAGCATGTTTCCAGTGACTTTGACGTGCGCGCGCGGGCGCGTGCGGGGCCCGCATGATGTCACTTGCCGAGGTCCCGTTCTGTTTGTGATGGGGCGGATTCACATATCGGATGAGCGGCCATGCACAGTAGATCTGCGAGCATGCCTCTGGGCACGGAGTGGGCGTGCCCTCAGGTCCTGGGCTTACTCCTCTTAGCCTCAATCCCTCGGGTGCGGCAAAGAGGGGGTGTCCAAGAGGGGGGGGTGCAAATCATGACCGGCGGCACGTGCGCGGCCCAGCGGGGGGGCCAGGGACGTAATGAAACAAGAAGAGGCGCCATAAAATCTGGGGGAATATCATGGCCCACGCCATGACATCCCCCCCCCTAGTCATCACCCCCCTCTTCTCCGCCCCCGAATCCCCACTCCCGAGGAGCCGCTCTCAAGTCTCCCGGGGCTTCCCGCGTGGCCCCCTGGGCTCCGGGAAAGTGTACTCGTATGCCTTTTCCCGGGCCAGGAGAGAGTCACCGAACGATCTCTCCAAGACGCTCAAGATGGCCCCCCGGACGGCCCAAGAGGCTTCCAAGACGCCCCAAGGAGGCCTGCAATAGATCGCCCAAGACGCTAAACTCATTGACTTGCCTGAGGTCTTTGGTGAATTTGGACGCTCTCGCCGTTTCGGCTTCGCGACGCTCCCAGACGGACCGAGCGGCCTCCAAGACCGCCCCAAGACGGCCCAAGAGGCCTCCATGTGGGCCCCAAACCAGCCAAAGAGGGCCCCAAGACGGCCCAAGAGGTGCCCAAGACAGCCCAAGAGGGCCCTCAGACGGCCCCCGAAGGGGCCCAAAAGAGGGAACACGAACCGAACATCCGAGTCTTCTGCTTTTTCTTTCTTTCTAGCTCATGAGGACCAGATCCGAAGGAGAGCACTGGCAACGCAGAATCGGAGCGGAAAATGCGAAGCACTCTTAGCTGCCCACGGGGTTGTTCCCTGAGGAGGCTTAACCTACGAAGCCGACGTATACTGCTAAAAGATACGATCCACTCTCGGCCAGATGCCGCACGGACCCCGCCAGCACAAGCCCGATGCACGCAACACCCTGAAGGCTCGGCTGGCCTCAGGTACGCGGACCCTTGCCTTTGCTGGGACCTTTACCTCTCGAGCGACCATGCTTTCCTTTCCCCCCTCCACGCGGCCTCCTGGGGATATTTACTGTCGGAGGGCCGTCCAACAAAGTTCGGGGGATCACAAACTGCCTGCTGTGTATTCGGACTTTGAGTAAGAGGAGGAGCCGAAGACGAGGACGGAAGGGATGAGGAAGCAGGGGGGAGAACAAAACCTCTTGACCTGAGCTCAGCCAGGCGCGAACTCGTCTGATCCTGCTTCTCGCCTGCCTTTTCCTTTGCCTTTAGGGCCGCCGAGTCGTCGTTGTACTTCTTGCCTGCTTGCTGGCTGACCGCCGCCACTCCCGCCGCCACTGGTAGCTCGTACTTCGTGTACAGCAGGGCGCCGAGATCGGCGATGTCCTTCGTGTTGGTCAGCGCCAGCTTCACCACGGGCAGCATGATGTCGTCCTTGCCGCCTTTGTGCTTCTTCTTGTCCCTGACCGCGCCCTCGCCCTTTTCCTCCTGGTCGCCTGGTTTGCGCCCGCCTCCAGCGGTGATGGACTGGCTGAACCACGACGGCATGACGAGCTTCGGTTCCTGGTCCATCCCTTCTGGCATATCTGCTGGCTGGTTGACTCTCTGGGGTCGGTCCAACACTGCCTGGCAAGTGGTTCGACGCGAGATGGCTGCAGAGATCATCGAGGGCGCCGCCTTCGTATTCACAGCATAAACATTGTAGCGATCTGGGCATTTTGAGAGGAAGGAGGGTGCGTGCTGCTTCTCTTTGACAGTGCCCACGTTTAAGTGCGCGCGATAAGTGCTGTGCTACTGTTCTCTGTGAAGCGAATGTTTGACGACAACTGATACAAGTATTCGTCGGAGTGATAACGAAGTAGAGGTTACGAACATGATGCGCCGACTTTATGTGTGATAAGTACGCTGGCCTCGTGGGGAAACTGGCTCCGCATTCAACCCCATTTTTACTGCGCCTGCATATGAAGACTTCCGACGGGTCCCGCTCTGGTGGCGGAACGACAACCGGTGACGAAGCCAGCTCTTGGAATCCTGGTGGCGGGATCCGCCTGCCGAACTCTCGGCTCCTCAGCTCCGTGAAATCAATCATACAGAAATCCTCCATCGCTTCCTTGTCAGCGAAGAGGGCTAGATTCAAAGCGATCGGCTCGATCATGCAATCTTGCAATAACTCTGCTGCTTGGTCCAAGTCCGCGGCTATTTGCTGCAGCCACGGCGAGGCGTATTGGGATGGACGTCCTGCGCAGAGCTGAGGCCTAGTGTCGAACTGAAACTCCCCGAAAAGAGCAACTAGTACCTGGGTATGATGCTCAGGACGTCGACCCCATGTCTGATAAAGCTTCAGGCGCCTAATCCTCATCTCCTGGTTACAGGGCAGTATTTTCCAGAACCACAGGATTTCTTTATTAGTGAGGCTCGTGATATGCTCCCCCTCATAGTTAGCCGCCTTCCCACCCATTGCTGCTCTCCCCAATCGGCTTAAACGCGAGTCCAGGATGTCATAGTCGAATTTAGACAGCGGAAAACTCTCCAAACCAGATAGCAAAGCGTTTTGAACAAACCCAATGAATAAGCATCTCCTCCACCTCCTCGCCAGCCCCGTTAGCTTCCACATTCCACTAAGAGAGTGAAAACCAATACGTGCAGCAGCGCATCTACGAACAACTTCGTTCCTAGCCGAGTCCCGCATGGTAATGAATGGCCCCAGGTAACGAGCTTCCTCCCGTACAGCTCCCTTCAACACAAGATCACCCGCTCGGATTCTGGCGCGTCCGAGATGACCCTGTTGGGCAAAGTGTACAAGAAACTCCTGCTTGCTGGCATTCTGCGCGCACCCATGCATGGGAAGGGCCTCGTCTAGGCCCCTGTCCACGTGCACTAGCTTGTCCAAAAAGGAAGATCACGAATCTCCTGGATCAGCGATAACGAGCTTGGCGTATTTCTGAAGTGAAGTATCTACCGTCCATCCCTTCCATTCCCCCACCAATAGCTTTGATCTGGTATCCCATGTCCTCAATTCCCTCCCCCACGTAAGAATCGGAAAGTTAAAGGCGCCCACGAAGGCAGAGACCATGAACGGGTCGCCCATACAGCCACCTTGTCGGGGCCTGACTAGAAGTGGGCCATCTGCTGCTTCAAATCGAATCAGACTCTGCCGAAAGCGCTGCTTGCAGATCTGATAATCCTCTGGCTTCGCATGAAGCTCAACAACTTGGTCCAATGTGTTGTGGTGTGTACTGCCGAATGCATTACTTAGATCTTTCAAACATACTGCGTGCGTGAAACCTCCCTCCCGAAGTCGACGACTCATAAGCTGCGAACATAAAGCTGCCTCCCCCCGACGACGCTCTTTGACGAACCCGTAGTCCATGACCGATGGCTCCCCACGTACCCTTTACTAACTGTTGGAAGGACGTGAACTACTCGGCGTCCTCGGGGCCCCTTGAGGCCAGACTTGCGCAATCCACAGGCAGAGCTGGTGTGCCAATACAATGGGGTCTGCTGGTGCATCCTGATCTTTGCCAGGCCAACGTTCACCATGAACTGAAATGTTAAAGTACTCGGGGGCTCATCAGAGGCTCCAACTCCTGCAACTTGCGGGGCATCCTTTCTCGGCTTGGGCAAGAAACACATGTGCCACAATTCTAAAGGAGCGGTCCCAGGAGGAACCACTTTGCGCTTCTGTGCCCGAATCGTGTGCCAGAGAATCGCCGCATAATCTGCCTTTGCCAATTCAAAGA